TGTGAATAGAATTGCCCATCTTTAAGTATGATTCAAAAGGATTTGTGTTGCGAATTGTTGCAAAATTAGGCCATTTGACGAATTAATTACATACAGTATATCGTTTGTAGTGAATATCAGAAATACAAAATGCTTGTAAATTTAAAAGTGAGTTTGAAAAATTCAGTCCATAATTCCGTTCGTGATTAGATTTCAGTTCACATCAGAAAACTGTAGTTGAAAATCAATAAACAAAGTTATATTTCTGTGCATAAGTGTCACATTCTGGAATAACCCAACCCTCTTACTCTTACGATTCGTTAACTCTTGCATCCTGCCTATTATTCTCTATTGTTCCCCCTTAGTTTTCGCCGGGCTACTGAAGAAGGACTATAAAATATTACGCAGGATGTTAAAGGTTGTCAGTAGGGTAAACAACGTGCCACTTAACCAGCTTGTTAATATTCTGGTCGACAGGCACTTCGACTAATGTGAAAAATGGGATAAATCCATTCTATCTAACTCACACCACCCTCTTCATTCGCAACTCTCCCCTTGCATCTCATCAGGCAAAACCAGAAGCCTATATTGAAAACTATATGCTCGCACCAGCAAGTACAAAAACTCAACCATACCCTACTTAGGTCGTGTTCTGTGCGATAAAGGAAGCATTAGGCGTGACACCTAAAATTCATTAAATAGTCAGTAGTACAACTGGATCTCGTCTTTCCAACTCACATCATTTATAGGTACAACATTTTCTTTCTTTCTTTTTCTTTTCTCTTTTTTCTGTTATGTGCTGCTTTCTTTCTCTCTTCCTTACAAACTCTACTTAAAACATTCTTCTTCATTCTTTCACACTCTGTATATCTCGACCTTTTTGTTACTGCTAACGCCAGTAAATATGCTGTTATCTACTTTTCTAACACCTTCAAACATTCTGTTCACTTTTAGCTTTGCTACTGATATGCTAATATGTTGTTGTCAAAATTAACTGAGACTGCCCATGATGTATGTAGAATTTTATTATTGGTGATGTTGAAACTGGATAATAATAATAATAATGATTTACTTTATTCAAAAAACAGTACTTGTGATACAGAATGGAATTTTCAGCATTAATCACAATATTGCATCCAATTTCCTCAAATTATAAATCAAATTAATCACACAGAAAATTTTTCTACATTTACAATTGGGGTGATGTCAAAAAAAACATGCATCATGTAAAATGGAAATATTAATAATAATGATAGCAGCTAAGGTAATGATAATAATACAAGTGGAAATTGCCGTGGGCTTGTTTCACACGGTGTGCAATACTGTATTAATATGTTCAGAATTCCATTCTGTATCACAAGTACTGTTTTGGAATAAAGCAAATTATTGTTATTATTATTTTCAGTGTCACATACAGTATAACGGAACAATTTAATTCAATTTAGACTTTCCTGTTGATTGATTGGACTGAAGTGCTTGCACTCAGATTGACATATCGTCCCATCATGAAGGGGCTTGGATGATGTCTGATTATTTGGTGGATGTTGATTAACAGCAGAATCCAGGAAAACGAGCATTTCGTCCCATCTAGGACTAATCATCTTGATGCACCTGTAGCATTCCCCAGTCAACGGCAGTGTTCCATCCGAGATTCAAAACCTGTACCCATAGTTTGAAACGCTAAAGCGTTATCCAAGAGAGCCACCTATTTCTTATGCAAGCAGTATCAGTAATTATTTGATTCAGTTTAGAATTTCCCGTTGATTGATTTACTTCAGGTGAAATGATCAGACATTGTCCAAGCATCTGCATAAACAGCCGACATGAAAACCTGAGTCCGAACAGAATTAAATAATTACCAATAATCATTGCACAAAACGTGGCTCTTGTGAATAACGCTTTAGCGTCTGAAACTATGCTTACTGGATTCGAGCCTCAGTGGGATCACCATCAGTGACTGGGAAATGCAGGTACATCTAGCTAACGAATCTCAAATAGGATGAATCGCGAGTATTGTCGTGGATTCCACTGCTAGTCACCATCCTATAATTTAGTTCAACGAAGTAGTTGTTTGGAAAATCACTGCTGAACAATATATTTGTGATAGTGACACGCATTTAGACATTTCAACTGTTTCTCTTCCGGACTGTATATCACTGTTCTGACATTTGAATATTATCTGTTCACTACATCTCTTATTGTTAGTCTTTGTCCCTGTTTAACCTCTAGTTTTGTTGCTTCTCTTTGCGGTCGTGTGGTAATGATATTGATAATGTGTTGTTTTACGACTGTGACTTTGTCTGAGTGAGTCAAGGTCATTCTGATACCGGAATGTCTTCGCGAATTGTTTGGTGAGTGATGCTTGCTGACAGAGTTTAGATCCCACCTTGTTGAGAATATTCTTCTTGATTCTTAGGTAATTCTTGCGGTTGATTTTACAGAACTCTGACGACCTTGACCTTGGCGGCCTGCTTGAACTTTTTGGGCTACCATATTCCATGTACATTTTGCATCTATTTACTCATATTTTGTTGGCGTTTACATTTAAAATTATGCATTCTAATCGTATCATTCACTCTCGGGATTATATAAAATGCTTAAAACCTAAAAACTTTCATATTTGCAATAAACTCAAGAAAAAGCACCATGGTGGTTGGCAACGTGCTTTAAAATCTACACCCATACATCAAACCACTGTTCCGGTAATCGTTAGTACCAACTGTTGGTCAGTGCCTAACAAAATTCTGGATTTTCAGTCCCTGTTGTTATCCGAAACTTATCACAATACTGGTATTGTAACTCTACAAGAAACCTGGCTTCATGACTCATATGATGACAATATAGTATCTTTAAATGATTTTAGTGTATTCCGACAAGATCGTGTGTGTTCCAAGAAAAAATGCGGCGGAGGGGAAGCTACATTTATTCACTCAAAATGGTCTATTTCTAACAAAGTTTGTTTCAAATTCTCGAATGACTACATTGATTGCATCACTGTCAGATGTCGCCCGAGACACTTGTCAAAATATAAATTCATCTATATTTCTAATGTTTATGTCTCTCCTGGCTGTACCATATCGGATTTATCTATGTTCGCAGATGAATTCACAGCTTTTGCTGCAGCTTGCTTCGAGAACTCTTTATCAATAGTGACTGGCGATTTTAACTCATGTGATCACTCCTTCCTTATATCACTTGGCCATGACAATATTGTTAACTTTGCTACCCGTCTCGAAAAAACACTAGATCTAGTATTCATCAATGATGTTGGTATATATGAAGCTCGCAAACGTGCTCCTGTACTGAACTCTGACCACTGCATCATACGTGTACTGCCTAAAATATATTCCAAATCACACAAACGTGTCTTCTCTCACCTCTACAGTAAATTTCAACGGAGATGCTACTCACAAGACAATCTAAGGAAACTCAGATGCATGTTGATAGATACTAACTGGGACCTATTTACAGAACAAACATTAAATGACGCAATCACAAACACTACAGATTATCTTAAATTCTGTTTCGAAATATGTTGTCCTAAAGAAACATTATTCACTCGATTTGACCGTTTCTCTTCTCCATATCTCAAAAAGCTCCGTAGAGATAAAGAACTGTTGTTCAAAACAAATGACAAGTCAGGTGTAAAAAAGCTAAATACTCTGATAAAACTCGAAACGCACAGACTAAATGTTTCATACAACCAAAGATTCTTGTCATGTAAAACCCCTTCTAGTTTATGGAAACTTTTTAAAGAAATAACTAGCGGTAAGCGGTGTACTTCTGTCCAATCTCTTAATGTTGATAATCTTAATAAGTCTTTTATACGCTCCTCTGTCGATATCCTTCCTAATGATACAAATCACATAGACAATAATTTTAGTGGTTTTAATACCCTTGATGTGCTTAAATGTCCCCGTTCGCTTAAGCCTTCCCAAAGCCTTGGTCCTGATGGCGTACCTGCCATTGTCCTCAGGAACTGTGCTGATATTTTGTGTTACCCTCTTACTAATATTTTTAATGCTTCCTTTTCCAGTAATGTTCTACCTTCTGCATGGAAAAACATTAAAATTATCCCTATACCAAAACAATCTTCTGGTACCGATATTAAATTTAGGCCTATTGCAATTACTTCTTTTTTAAAATTGATGAAAAAACTACTTTTACTTCGTCTTGAACCTTCATTGAAAGCTTTTAATAACCCTAAGCAATTTGCATATAAACATGGTAGAAGTACCTTGGATGCTGC